CTAATCCCCAGCGTCTGTTCGCTTCCACAAATAGAACCTTCTGTTGGATGAAATAAAAGCAAACACTGGGCCTTCTGCGCTGCCTCCACCTCCACGCCCCTCCCGCGCCTGCCGCCCTCCCGGATTGCACGGAAATAGCTTCTCCAGGCTCCTGGGCCGCCCCTTCGCGGTGACTAGCAGAAAGAGCTTCCTGAGCCGGGGCCGGTGGGAAACAAAGGATGTGGGGAGCTAGCGGAAGGGGCCCACGTGGCTGCCGCCGGATTCCTGCCCCCTTCCCGGCCTCCGCACGCGGAGCAGGGTCTGGGGCCCGGTGCCAGCCCTGGTTCCGTGGTGGGCGGGTAGGGGAGTAGAAGTCATTCTGACCACCGACTGTGATACTGCCTACACCAGGACATCCCTGCCAGGTTGTGTGCGTACATTCGTGCAACGTGATTTGGGTGAGCGTGAAATGTGTGCCAGACCCTGCACCAAGAAACCTCCTTGAAAAAGGAATTTAAACTCTGTCGTTTCTCTTTCTTGAGAGATCCGGGTCAACTTGGAGTCTCTAGACGTCCGACATAGATAACTCTTATCAGAGAGGCTCTGTACTCCTGCTAAACGCTTAATTTTCTAAAACCAGCTCGAGCCCCAAGGATAAATCCTTTTAATATTAAATCTCCATACATTCAACAAACACTAATTAAGCATCTACTAAGGGCCAGATGCCGGGGATTAGAAGATGAAAATGCAAATAATTGCTAACATTAATAAATGCTAACAATAATTGCTGACATAATGTGTCAGGGACTGTTCTTAGCACTTTATGCATAATCCCTTCGGTTTTACAATCAGCCTGTGGGGTTATTTTTTGTCCCATTTCAGAGAGAAAGAAACCTGCAGGTTTTTAAGTTCCTTGCTGGAGTCCAGTAGGTAGTAAGTGGTGATTTCAGGCTCTGAAGCACTCATGGGGACTCATGGGAGGGATTACAATGTGTTTGGGAGAAAAGAGGACTAGGGAGGAGTCCCATCTAGAGGCAGCATTTGACCTGGGGAATGTGTGGGATTGTGAGATTGTTGCTGTGGGGGGCTGGGGG